ATCTATCAATGTAATAAATCTTAGTCTGGATAATGTCTCTGAATGGCTAGACAGTCACAAACTCAAAATCTCTCCACTAAAATCTTCTGCTGTAATTTTAGTAATTCAAATAGGAAATTGGTAAGCCCTAATATTAGGATTAAAAATAATATAATTGTAATTAAAGAAAATGTTAAGTATTTAGGTGTTTCAATAAATAATAGTTTAAATTGGAATGTTTATGTACAAGAGCTAGAAAATAAAACTCAAAAAGGGTTAAATATAATGAGAGCGATAAGAGGTATCCATTGGGCATCAGATCCATCCACTATGCTTTCTGTATATAAAGGTTTAATTAGATCTCATCTAGATTATGCATATTATGTTCTGAGACCATGTAGCAAAAAAATATTAAATATATTAGATAGGGTACAATACAAAAGCTTGAGGTTAGCGACAGGAGTAATGAAATCAACACCAATCAACTCCCTACTTGCTGAATCTGGTGAAATATCCCTTGAATATAGGAGACAATTGTTAGCCATTAAGTTCTATTTGAAAATAAGATCGAACAATAACAACCCCCTGAATGCAATTTTAGATTCTTTGTCAGACATGTATCAAGCTAGGATTGGTTTTTGGAGAGTGAGGGACCCCCCTTACCTAATTAAAGCTAAAATTGTAGCAGATCATGTTATTACTAACCTGTATAGAACAGATGTAAATCCGTGTTTCCAAATTGAAGTGTCTGATCAAGTCGATAAAATAAGAACAGTCTTTTCAGCTGCAAGTAAAAATGGTATTTATAGTAATCAATGTTTTTTAAATGAATTTGCGGATAAATGTATGTCATACTTGGGTGTTCACTGATGGTTCATTAAATCCTATAGATCAGAGTGTAGGCTGTGCGGTTCATATGCCTGATATTAAATATAACTTTACTACTAGGCTGCTTGACCATACACAAATATGTTCTGCTGAAATTTTAGCTATCAATAAAGCCATTGTGGTATGCATAGAGAATAAACTAACAAAATGTATAATCTTTTCAGACTCTCAGAGCGCAATTAAAATGATTGAACACAAAAAATATGGGAATAATAACCTTAATGCTTTAAAAACCAAAAGACTATTATTGGACGCTAGTAGGGTCGAGTTTGAGTTCATTCTAGCATGGATCCCAGGTCATATGGGGGTAATTGGTAACAAACAGGCAGATGATCTGGCTAATATAGGTAGAGTTTTGAATATACCAGCTGATATTAAAATAGACAGGCCTGATTATTTTCCTTATTTTAAATGCGCACAACATTATCTGGAGTAGATCCTTTTTGGAAAAAGGGAAATGTTATCCAAATCTTCCTCATAAATATTGGTTTCTGAAATTTCCATTTATTGATCGCAGACATATTACAACTATTATTAGGTTGAAGACTGGGCACACACTTTGCCGAGCTCACCTTTTTAAAATCGGGTGTAGCGATGACCCATTCTGTGAATGTGGTCAAATTGAAAGTCTACACCATGTATTTTTTGAATGTCCCTTGAACATTAGGTTTTGATTTATATAGAGAATTGATTAAAATAGGCTGCACTTCTCCCATCGCACTTCCTAGTATTTTAAATCACCTACATTTAAATGTCATTAAATTAATTATGAAATTTATTAACACATTTAAAATAAAAGTTTAGTATAAAAATATATTATTTGTTAATGCCAGAATAAATCCTGAACTATTTAACCTGGGTGCTCTTTCTATCTATCCGAGGCAACATTTCTGGGTTTGTGTAAATGCTCGGCAGTTGCCCCCGAGCGAGAAAAGTTTATACCTTTGTTGTCTTGTAACATGTTTTGATTACTATTACTATACCACACTATACGGTGCAAGAAAGAGGTCCGACACGCCCAACATAGGGCGCGGCCATTTTGATTCCTATGCCACAGTTTACAGCTAAAGAATCAGATCGCTCACTCAGCGTCGGCGCTTTTGATCTCAATGTTCCAGTTTATACACTGCGCAACTCGGATAATACAATATATGACAACCGCCTATAATAAAACAGCAGTCTTCTGCGTGTCCTGAATTTGTATCCCTGGAGTGGATGTTATTTTGGAACTTTCAACTGGTCCGAGTGAGCTAACTGATTCTCTAGCAATAAACTGTGACTCCAAAAATAATATTCAATGACAGCAGCAAGCAAAATATCAGGTGCGTTTTAATCATCCGCTTCTGGTATTGTCGGTTTAGTCGTTTTAACCTGTCAGATTAAAACAAGAAAACCGACAATTCCGAAGCAGATGATTAAAACGAACCTATTAAAAATATTGCGCCAAGATGTAGGCAACACGTAATAAGGGATCAAAATGGCGGAGTTTTCTATCTCCTTTTAAAAGGCACTCAGAAAGCTGCACAGTGCGACCATTCTCCGTAGAGTAAAAGAAAATCAAAGTATGTGTTTCAACCCCTTACGAGTGAATTTTAACCCCAAAAGCTGAGCTTGTCCGGGAAAAGGAACGGTTATTATTATTATTTGCCGTGGCGCTTCAAGGAACAATTTACTCATCTAACATAAGAATTTATTATCATTTTATTTCAATTATTTTCAAGACTATTCATTTAAAAATAATTTGGTTACATACATACCTTCTTACTCTTTTCAAGATCTGCAAATAATACTGAACAAATTGTATACCTGGTGAGTACAGTAATAGTGTTGCCTTTCATTAGTAATATACAATATGCCATTGTAAGTGATGGTCGACATTCTTTTGTTGGTCATTTTTATCAGCCATTTTTAATATTTAATAAAATAAATTCTTTTCAATTAATTTATCAAGACAATTTTAAAATAGGAAATAAATTAAACAATGTATTAATAACGAGCTATTTATTCATGAATTATAAACGTTTTGAGTCATTTTTTTTTCGTTTTTTTCCTGATTGTTCTCCTTGTGGATCGTTATCTGAAATTTTAATTACATTGATCACCATTATTGGAAAATATGATTTTTTGTTGTTGTATATTATGGAAGACGTACATAAACAGTAATTTAATCCCTTATCTGACTACAAAAGAGTGGCATGTCGTGTTTTTGGCTTGCTATTTGTAGTTGGTTACAGGAGAGGAGTGTGAACATATACTATGTCCCTATGGTGGAAGCTCTCATGTGACCTGTCAAATTCAAAGTAAATTTGCTTATCGATGGCTGGCTAGACCTCATTAACAATAAAAACATTCAATTGCAATCATTTGTTGTCGTCCAGTTTTGCTACTCCCAATGTAATTTTTGGGATGTAGCTTGAACACGTTTCTTTTGAATCTATGATGATATTGCAATCATTTTTTTTTGTCGGCGAAAGGGTCGATATGCAAAATGAAAATTGGCGAAAAATGTTTTTTTAAATAGGTGTAAAATTGGAACAAAAAGTCAAAAAATGGGTTAACTGCCATCAAAGTGCTTGCATGACTCTCAACTAAAAGTATTGCCTTTGCGAGGTAATCATCAAAGTGCTTGCATGACTCAACTAAGAGTATTGCCTTTGCGAGGTGATCAGATGGTTGAAATACTGAATACAAAATGCTACTTAGGCGATTCATACAAATATTTTGAGAGCCATTAAACCACTTTACGACTTTTGGTTCCGATTTTACACCTATTTCATTGTTACATTTTTTTTGCACATCAACCCTTTTGCAGACACAAAGAATGCAATATCATCTTTAGTTCAGAAAATCCACATTTAATTATAACTCGAATTTCGTTGAAAACGTAAATTTGCAGTCATGTGAATTAAATCCTCTCACCGGAAGTAACAAACTCGGACGACAGAATATGCTTGCAGAGCGATTTTTTTTTCATTGTTATAGACATCTAGAAGCATATATTTCATTACTAACAAAAAACGAAAAATCCATAAGCAACTGTACTTTGAATTTGATATGCCAAACGACAGCTTCTACCACTGGGACACAATGCATGTCGCCCCCTCCCTCGTACTCAAGTACAAATAGCATGCCTCTTTTCGCAGTAAGATGAGGGATTCATTACATATTTGTTTTTGACATTTTGTCAGTAACATATTTATCAGTTTTTAGATTGTCCTTTAATTCTGTTTCGTGGGTAATGAGACATAATAAATAAAACGCAAAAAATACGTCTAATTAAATTATAATTCATTTTAACATTACACACTTAAATTGAAACATCATAATACTACGTCAACCTAAGCTATTAAATCATATTTGAAATATACGATATTCAATTTAAATTCTATTACATAGGAAGAAATAGAATTAAGTTTTCCACTACATTATTTCTTACGTATTACACATTATACAAAATATTTCATTATTTGACTAACAATGCTCCAATAAAACATAACAAAATGACATAATGTTAACTAAAAACATTTAATTTTACCAAGATACAAAAACATAATAATGCAGTGACCTGTGACGAATCATTTTAATATATTTCAATAACAAAACGTCTTTCTATTAAAATATTCTTATAAAGCATTATTGGTCAAATTTAGAAACTCCATGTATAAGGTTCAGCACAAGATCAATGTACTATGTTACATAAAAAAGATTAAAAAGTACAAACTGGTCAAAGAAAAATATGGATGGCGATTTGTAAAAACTTAGAAGAAAATATTCAAGCAAATTAATTGTGACTACTAAAAAAGGAAAAATTATTAAATAATGTAATAACATTTTTTAATTTGATTTTTATTTAATCTGACTGTATACTATTTATTCCAGAACGAGGATATGAATGAACAAAGTGACATTCACTCGAATAAAAAAAGTTAAATTTCAGCACCATACTATACAGGGTGATTCCTAGGTTGATACTTCTGTATATAGAAGACAATAAAATAAACAACTTTTTTTTTTAAATAATAAAACAAAAAAATCACAAGGATTTAGGTCTGGCAACCTGATAAGAAAATAAAAAAATCCGAATCCAGGCCTGTCGTCAATATTGGATCAGCAGAAATTAACCAGCAGCATGGGAGTAGAGATTGCCAGAGCTAAATCCTTGTGATTATTTGTTTTATCTTATTCTTAAATGTTTATTTTTATGACAGTAAACACTTAATCAGGTCCTGGGAACTATATTCCCACTTAAAATGTATACTATTCTCAAGGTTCAGGAAAAATGGTCACATCTTTCTTTCAAACCTTGCAAAACAATTGCTTATATTTTATTTTTAACTATTTTACTGAAATAAATGTTTATACAACATTATTTTCTTGAATGTTTTGAGGGTTAAAAAGAAGTATCAACATAGAAATCATAATAAAATCTTTTTCTAGTAAATATTGAATCAAATAGTGACGGAAATTGTAAAACTATGAACAGTCACATGTAAAACTAATTTTTCATTAACTTTATATAATAGCCCGAAAAATAAAAATCAAACCATTACCATCCATTAATTATGTGACCAGACTATATATTTTTTACTTGTTAGTGTCTAGAACGATGGCTGTCATCACCTCTGCGATCTCGTTCCCTGTCGCGATCACTTTCTCTTGCTCGTCCAGACTCGCGTTCTCTTTCTCTATACCTGTCGTCATAGTATCTAGAAGACTTAGTCACTTCACTGCTAGCTTCAACTGGGTCTGGAGACTTGTTTCTTGATCTTGAGACTCGTGATCTACAAAAACAAATGGAATAGATCAAATGAGATTAAGTCACAACCAAAATATAACATCAATATTAACTCAAACGTAGCCATCTTCTATAAAAATTTGACAAAAAGTCATACTTGCGCAATATTGTTCTGTACCATAGTTATATCAAAATTATAATATAAGCGTTTAAAAAAAATAAGTGATAAACAAAAAGCGCAGATGAAATTACTATACATTTTTGAAATCGTACTTTAAAAGAGTTTCCATTTGACACCCGTGTTTTTTTTTTCTCTAACTTTCAATTCCCTAAAACCAAGGCAATTTTTTTTTTAGTTAACACACTTACTACTATTATAAATTTATGTTAGTAATTCCAATATCCTGTAAGAATGTACAAAAATGGCCGATGCTTGGCGAAAACAACACAGTTTGTTAACCTGATTTTTCAACTAAACACACCTTAAACAACTCTTCAACATTCCAAAAAAAAATAATACCAATTAACCTCACTAGAAGTGTTTTTCTCAAGGGAAGCACGTATGTTTGTTGTTTTTGCGAAGAGTCCACCATTTAAAGTCACGTGATTTGAATTGTCTAATTGTGTACATCAAATAGTCTCTGAGTAAAAGCATGTGACAGAAGACAGACAGAAAGGCAGACCAGACAGTCAAGTACGCAAGTCAGACAGACACAGACAGGCACGCAGACACACACACAGACAGGCAGGCAGACACACACACAGACAGGCAGGCAGACACACACACAGACAGACATACAGACAGACATACAGACAGACACAGACAGACACAGACAGACATACAGACACAGACAGACAGACAGACCCAGACAGACACAGACAGACAGACACAGACAGACAGACACAGACAGACAGACAGACACAGACAGACAGACAGACACAGACAGACAGACAGACACAGACAGACAGACAGACAGACACAGACAGACAGACAGACAGACACAGACAGACAGACAGACAGACAGACACAGACACAGACAGACAGACAGACAGACAGACACAGACAGACAGACAGACAGACAGACACAGACAGACAGACATATTCTACGTGTTCCTTTTTGACAAATTGGGATGAAACACTAATAGGATAAAGTAACTTCAAAATCTCTGACACATACTTTTTAAACGTTATTAATAAAGTTTATGTGGAATAGATTTTGAGTTTCATCCTATATTAACCATTGAAATTAATTAAGGAATACTTGAATAACACATAATTCAGGCCCTACTAGAAGAGGTATTTCAACAGAACCTATTAAGATAATTGTTATGCATACAGTATTTGTTGGCAAATGATCCAAAACTTAACATTCTGTTAATTATTATAACTGGATTTTTAATAAAATTCTCTAGTAACAACAGCTGGTAATGAGGTTAACGAATGGGACTGTTATGTAAAACAAGTGCAAAGTGCAATTAATACAGTCCATAACAAATATACTAATGTGAAGAAGTTTAATAGGTTAATAAATATAGGAAAGAGAATATCGTAAAGATGATACTGCAATAAGAGCTGTCACAAAAAATTAATTTTACAGGAAACTATAAAATGCTAATACGTATTACATAAGAATTCCAATACATATCATATTGCCAGATATTATAAATACATTTTTGGTATAGAATACTGACAGAACACATATTGCAATGCATGGAGGACAGTTGGTTGCATATTTACGAACAATAAAATTAATTCTTGAATATTTTGACATAGCACATCTTGCAGAATTACGACGCCATGCTATGACTCTTGATTGTTCATAAGGTGGTGGTGTACTAATAGCTGTATCATCGCAAATCAGTCAAATATCATTCCTTCTCAGCCAATTTATTTGAAGATATTTGGGTTAAAATTAAAACTGCAAACGTTTGTTTAATAAAAATTAACTCACGCAGACGAAGATATGGGCTTAGTTCGCATAGATGCATTTCTCATATACACCGATGCTGTAGAGAGGTATTTGAAGAATTTGGAACAAGCTTGAACGCTGTCTGGCCCGAATTACCACATCAAATTTCTGTCTAGGAATCTCGACAGTCAATGTCATGATGGTCTAGATTGTCTAGAAGGAAGGGCACTTGTCTAGCGTACTAGGATGTTCGATTCCCAGCTGATTTTTCAAATCTCCAAGTACTTGTTTTCACCTTTGGGGCTCGGGGATGGTCTTAATAATTCGTAAGGAGATTTTTGAGATGTTTCTGAATTTTTAAATTATTCAGCTTATTTAATATTTACATTTCTCAAAATGCATAAAAAAAAAACATTCAAGCATGATATAGAAAATAAATGTACAGGCCATCATTGCATTTATACTAATGCTTCAAAAAAACATTCAGAGGTAGCAGGAGAACTATGGGTTAACTATATATTCAAAGCTCACTGTGGAACTAAAGATAATGAAACAGTGGATAAAATTGCTAACTTAGGGCAGAGACAACAGAGACGTGTAACTTCATAGGAAAATTTGTTCGGTGGTCCATTTAAATTACATATATGACTTTCTTTCTCTTTTACATTGATCTTTACATATGTTTATCTCTCTCCAATAAAACTAACACCAATTTAAGAGGTCGCTGATGTTGCTGGTTTTTTGACGTTGACGTATCGATTAAAACTGACAACTGACAATGTTATGAATGTGTGCCTTTTATTAAAATTAATTTAATTTGGGCCCAGTTTATTTCTTTGAGTCTGATTTTGTTGTTTAATTAATTTTCTTTCGGGGGAATGTTTATTTTTTGCATGAAGCAATTTCTGGAACCAAACTCGCGTTTTTGTACACATTTCTTTCTAGAGGTAAGTAATTTCCAATTTATTAAGAAAACCACTGTACAATTTGTGTGTTTAATAATATATTACAAAATGGCTATAATTATTTTAGGTGAATTGGAACAGAGATCCATTGTTACAGCTACTTTTGTTCATTAATTAGGTAGATGAATGTCTGGACAGCTTTAATGGCAGCACAAAGTGCCTACCTACTAGAAAAGTAAAATGTATGCCCAGTTAGAATCTGCATATGTAGTATTGGCAAAGGACATTTGAAATGATTAGAGATTGGCTATTTCTTACATACCTCTAATAGCCACTCTAAACGAAGAAAAAACAATTGAATAACAAAAAGGCAGAATTTTAAATCAGGATGCATTGGAAAATAAATTTGGAGACATCAAGTCGGTTTTGGATTTTAGAGAGAGATCAATCTCAAGAAAAGTTAATTTATCATTCAGAACAACCAGCAGTTTAAGCAGGATCTGCTATAACTTTATTAGAAGATTTCCTTGATAATAAATTGTAATATACGAATGGTTTCAAATGAAATTGAAAAAGAGTTTAATTCGAAATTATCATGGGTAAAATGTTATATTCATTCAAACATCGTAAGGTAATCTATAATTAAGGGAATATGGAAAATAGGTATACCCTGGTGGTGTAAGAGACAGGTAAGGGGCAATGACAAAAAAATTACAAAAATGTATTCATCTTTAAATAGTGTTTATTATTAATATTATTTGCTATGTTTGAAAAGTACCTCCTGCTGCAGAACAGATCAAATAGATTAGACGACTAGTTGGAGAAGGTTCACCTAGTAACCAAATTAGGAGACTAGGAAAACTTTTACATGACTGGGGACACAACAAGAATGCACACCCACAAGATACACAAACAAACGAAATAACAGGGGTAAGCCTTCAGCAACGTCCTGTTTAAATGATGTATGTCATCCTTCATTCCCTTTTAGACTCAGGCCTTATACATTTGTGTTGAGTGTATGTGTGTGTTTGTTTTGTTTCCATGGTTTTTATTAAAATAAACAGTCATAACATATCCATACCTTTTTGCCAGACTAACATAAGCGACATTTGTTCAAATGGCACTTATGATAGTCTGGCAAAAAGGTATCGATATACTCTATACTTTATAAAATATTTGTTACATTAGTTTTTAAATATATTATGAATATATAACAACTGTTACTTTCTTTGTAATTTGTCACAAAATGATAGGAGGTACTTTCTAAACATAGCAATTGTAGTTTGTTTTTCTGTACCTTACAAAAATATAATTTATAGAAAAAGAGTTTGGTGTATTATTTTTCCAAGTTTAAATATTTAATAATCAATAGAATTTTCAAGTTTTTTTAGCGAAATTTACAAGAGTAATAAAAACTATGTTCACTGCTTATATTCACTATTCAAGCTGTTCTTAATGTTCTTAGTGGCATAGTTGAGGGCCTAGAAAGAGGTGAATACACTGCAATTACGCTATGTGATCTCTCGAAGGCCTTTGACTGTGTCTCTCACAACATTCTGCTGAAAAAACTACATTATTATGGAATTAGAGGTGTACCCCTGTCACTCATTTCATCTTATCTGAAAAATAGATCGCAGGCTGTATATTTTAATAATACCTCATCTAAGTTTAAAATGATCACACATGGAGTACCACAAGGTTCTGTCCTTGGGCCTCTACTGTTCATTATATACGTCAATGATCTAATTAAATATATGAACCCTTGCAAAACTATTCTATTTGCCGACGATACGACCTTTATCTCAACTGGAAAAGATCAATCTTGTTTATTAAATGCTACTAAGTGCAGTATTGAATTGTCAAAAAAATGGTTCTGTGCCAATCAACTTATGCTAAATGATGCAAAAACTCAAAACCTTAATTTTGGATCTGGTAGTTCATCATCGGAACTTGACAGTGTCAAATTGTTAGGTGTAAAACTTGATAGTAATCTATCATGGACCTGCCATGTCGATATGATTGCTAAAAGATTATCTAGTTTGTTGTTTTTGCTTCGGCGTTTGGCCTTAATTACCAATTTTCAATGTTTAAAAATGGTATATTTTTCATTGTTTCATTCCCAGATAGGTTACGGAATTATTCTTTGGGGTAATTCATCAGAGGCAATGAAATTATTTCGTATGCAAAAGAAAGCCATAAGAATCCTAGCGAATGTTGGGTACCGTGAGCACTGTCAACCACTCTTCAAAAAATTTGTAATTATGTCATTACCATCACTGTTTATTTTAAATACAGTTCTTGAAATTCACAAAAACAGTGCAAATCTACTAAAGCAGTCTGATGTTCACCATTATAATACCAGACAAGCTGGGAATCTAAGGAAACAAAAATTTCGATTATCTAAATCCCAGAAAAATTCACTGAACCTTAACTTATATAATATTTTACCATCAAATTTAAAATATTTAAACTTTTCCCAATTTAAAGGAAAATTAAAGCGATTTCTTCTTGAAATGTGCTTTTATTCAGTCAGTGAATATACAGACTATTTTAAAAATTTTAAAAATAAAAATAATACATATATATTTTAAGTTATGTTAGTTGTAATATTATTATTTGTTACTGTAAAATATTTGTAACTGTGCAATATTTAGAAACCTTTATTTTTTATTGTTCTTGGAACATATTTTATTTATTTGTGACTTGCTACAAATGTACTGTTTGTATATAACGTAGTGAATAAATTCTATTCTATTAAACTGATTAAAACTTCCTTTATTAAAATGATTATTTATATGATAAAAAATTTGATGTTATTGGAAGCTTTTATATTTTTTAATAAACAGTGAAACAATAGTTTTTGTTTCTCTTGTAAATTTGTTGTATACAGAAACGATTTCTGAATCCATGTTTGAATTTCCCGCCCTAAAGAATTTTTAATTTTCCCGCTATATACTAGTGGCGCCATCATAGACTGGTTGTCGTTACAATCGCCCAAATAAGTTTTACCGAACAAAAAAAATACATTGAGTTACACGTCTCGCTGGATTGTCTCTGCTTAGGGACTAGAGAAGCAATGTTTCAAATTACAAATGTCCATAACATGATATAATATAATTTATAAGACTGAAGATCAAAAGCCAGTGGAATGGGCAATTCAAATTAGGAGAAAAAGGGAAGTACTCCAAAAACAACAACCAACCATTCCACAAGAATCTTGGTTCGCCAACGGATCTAGCAAAAGATGCTGGTTTCAGTTATGTGTAGAACCATGCATTAACATAAAGCGATCAACGGATCTCTAAGACAAAAAGATTTTTAATATTTATGGCAACGCACTCTGCATATGAACGAACAATGTTTTAACATTTTGTAGAAAGTTAGAAAATGTCAAAATACCAAATTTTTCTTTTTAGCTAAGACTTTTATATGCTGTAACCTACCTCACCCAGGTACCTTCATAATTTATTAATTCCACTTTATTTAAGAAAAGTTACATTCTTATTAAATTTAAATTCCTACATTTAATCAAATATTTTTTTTTTAGATAAATCCTATCTATGATGCGTAATAAATAAAAGCAATATTTCTGTTCGCAATGTCTCTAATATCACAGAAGAGATAAAAATTTATCCCATGAGAATCCGATGCAAAAACCTCCATGAACATATTTATTTTCACGAAGTAATAATCATTAAAACGCTTAACCCACTTATCTTTCTAGTTTCGATGTTAAGATCGATTTTCGACAATATTTCGGGAAGTTCTCAAGGCACATAATAAATCTGCCACCCATTTATCCACCCAAGCTACGAAAAAACTGACGGGACAAAAAGCCATTAAAACGGATATAAAGATCCGAACCCAAGGAGCTCGAATTCATTCATTATGATTTTATATAGAATTCATTTTATTATTTTATGTTCAAGCATTCATATTATTATTTGTATCCAGTAATATTTCAAGTTCAGTAGTGCGTACCTTTCCTAAAGACGGCTATCCTACAATATCTCCTATCCCCCGAAGCCGTCAACGTCCCGACGACATATCTCCCGAACGCTGTTACGTCGCTCACCACTTTAGTATTTCCTACCTTATATGCATCCCGAATCTCAACGTCCCACCACTTGCCGTCCCTAAATATTTCCTTCGTAATATCCTTGTCGACACCCTTTGTCGCTTAGCACCACCTAAGTATTTCCTACCGTATATCTGTCTCGACGCAGTACCGTGATAAATACCTTTCTCTCTACCACGACGCTACGCGTCTCGAAGCAAGGCGACGCTCAACGCTGCGACGTACCTAAATCGACGCTGTCACAACGCTAAATACAATTAGTACATAATGTCTAGTATAGACGAATGTAATGTCTGTATTTTCAATGGTGAGTCAATAGATTTATGTAACTTTCTTTAAGATACCACCGGGGTTTAGTTTGAATAAGGGCATGACATTTTCTTCAAAATATTATCAATTTAACCAATAAACCACATGGCGTTCGGGTATTCTCCCCGAAAGATAGTTTTTTGATGGGTGAATTTGAATATTTCAATAGAAATTATAAATATCAATATTTAGGAATATACAGGGTTGTATTAAGTTATTTCAATAGAAATTATAAAAATCAATATTTTAGAAATATACAGGATGTGTTATCTGGGATAAATTATACAAACCGAGAAGGTAAAATTTAACAGTAAGGTAACTGGCGAATTGACGTTGTTCGTTACCTCCGTTGGTCATCACCTCTATACTCGTCGAAATAAATACCTAAGAGGGTACAACCTGTGTATATCTAGAATAGAATCAAGCTAAATAAAAATATAAACATCAACACAGTAGTTAACCAACTGGAGAATTGAGGATGTTGCTTATACAGGGTATTAGTCTATTCGGCCGACAACGCTCTTCCCTCAGACAGCTCTAGTTAATGATGAATTTTGATATAGTAACATGAACCCTCAAAGGGTTAGTTACCGAGATGCAGAGTGTTAAGGGTTTGAATTTCAAAATTTGCCATAAATCAAAAGCGCCTTTTAATATTATTTTCAAAATGGTGCTCTTTAAGAAAGCAATATTTTGACATAAATTACCTTTTGAAAAATTTAACCAGTGGCGCGCTATCAGGTTTAATGGCAACTTTTTCCCACTTTTTACGTCACATGAAATATTTTTTTTTAATTCTGTTCTTTTTTAGTTAAAAAAGTAATAACTTTCTATAGAGCTAAAATGAATGGTGTAGTAGAAATTTGCTTCTAAATAAAAGACTTAGCGAGTTGAACACTTAGGTTAAATAACAGAAGTTTAATTTTTAACTGTTTATATTCAAAGTACAAATGTCAGTTTAACGTTTAACAATAACCAATGATTATACGAGGTTCACAGCTTAAAATTAGATTATATTTTAAGTGCGTATTGTACAACTCACTGCTAGTAGACATAATATATGACAAATTTAGAAAGAATAAGCGTTTTTTTTTTAATTCCAGAGCCTTAACACCAATATTTCGATTTAAATTCAATGAAATTTAGTATGTAATAAAAAATCAACACTTACGTATCCTCAGGTTCTCGATCTCTGTAGTCTCGCTCTCTTTCCCTCTCCGTCCTTTCTCTGCTTCTAGATCTATCTCTGTCTCGCTCCCTTTCGCTGTATCTATCAGAATAATATCTGTCACGCTCGCGATCCCTATCTCTGTCTCTTTCACGTTCTCTATCTCTGCTTCTGTCGCGGTACCTCGATGATGATCTTTCTCTTCTTGTCCTTCTGTGAGATCTGTCTCTAGATCTAGACCTATCCCTACGGCTCGAACTGTAAGATTTGTCTTCTACGCCACGCAGGGTGTCTTGTAAGGAGCTGATCAGAATTTTGCAGCGATCGTCGTTAGCTACCTTAGATTGTTTAATAAGAGATATAGCAGTGACAAGAGTTTCTATTGCGCTTGCATATTCGCCCGCAGCAGCGTCAGATACAGCTCTGCCAATGGCAGAGGAAGATACAGTTCTGTTTCTAGACATGATATCTTCGAATTCCTGTTCGGTCAATTGGGGAATGTCTGAACGATGATCCGGAGGCGGGCCGCCGTAAGAAGGTTGTGGCATAGTGGCTGGAGGTCCGTAACCGTGAGGTGGGCCATGTGGTGGTACATTCGTTGGACCCATTGGAGGACCATGAGGAGGCCCAACTGGACCGTGAGGAGGACCTTGAGGTGGTCCTTGTGGTGGCATGACTGGAATATTGATATTTCTCTATCTTATTTTCGGTTTAGCAGTAAATAACAAGGTTAAAATGGTTTATATTTTCATGTGCATGCTGCCATAAAATAAAGTGTATCAGTTTGTTGGGGATAAATACAAGACTTAGAAGGAGAAAGATTGAGAAAACCATAATTTTATAAGGTTAGAACAATTTAGAAATTTATAAAAATACAGGGCGTTGCATAAATGAAATTAAAAAAAAAAATTCCCAGGACTGAAAAAGAGGAGGAAACACTTAATTAGTATTTGTGTTTCAAAACTAAAAAATAATCCAAACAGAAGTTGAATGTCACGTTGTTTAGTGAAATAATCACAAAATGTAAAAAAATGTTTTTTCTATGATCACTATCTAAAAGTAGGCTTTTGCTTTTCGAAATCCAACCGCAAAGTTGACGTTTTCCGTAAAGTGACAGCTTTGTCGCCCGCTGAACGACAAAGTTGACAGATTTATTGCTCCTCTAATTTAAATTAGCTATAATATAATATTCCTTTTTAATAAATAATTTTCAAGTTATTTGTACGTGGTTACATATTTTTTTGTTATATTATCCAAGTTAACATGGCCTTATCAACTGCTTTTTTCATTATTAACGTAGGTATAGGCAACACATTATGCACTACTTATGACAAATTTTCAGTTTTTATATCTATTTCTTAAAAAAGTGTGATCGTAGCCATGCATTTTGAGCAAAAAGTTAGTTGCCGCTTTCTGATTCAATAGACAAAGTATCACTTTTCGCTCTTAATACACAAATAGCTATTGTCATTATCTCACTAAAGCAAAGAGATATTCAACTTCTGTTTGAATAATTATTATTATTATTATTTTTGAAACATCAAAAACTTATTATGTAGAATAATTTCTCTAAAAGTTTTTCCTCTTTTTTAGTATGAAAATATTTATATGAAATTTGGTGGTCTGATTTTACCGTATCACTGATTGTTTACAAGGCTATTATCACGACTTGATTGGAAAATGTAGAAAATAAGTATGTTTTTTTTTTAAATAATTAACAGTAGAGATGGTTTTGGTCAAAGTACCATAATATAAACTTATTATTTTTTTAAGTTACCCAACACCCCTCAAGTTATAATTTTGTACAAAAAAAAAATAATGAAATTACATCACTTTTATAATTACCGCAATAGCTTTCTCTACCTGTCTCAAAATAAAAAATGTATGCACTTGAAAACCATAGGTGTTTTATTTTTGTTTTAGTTCTAAAGTATTTTTTTGGCAATTCAACAATATTTTTAACATTCTTAATACTATGAACAATGGTTTGGCCTAAACAATCGGTTCTAAAAAAAGTTCATAGACAAATCACATTTAAGTATTCACAAATATTGTAAATTATAATTTTTTATTCATACAGTTTTTCAAATAAAATTACCAAAGAAATACATTGCATATAAATTCTTTTATACGATTATGATGATAATGTAATAAAATGGTGCACGTTAAAAAAACTTGCAAATAAAACAACTATTGTTTCTTAAATGATTGCAACATAAAAAAACTACTAAAATAATTTCAATCGTTAAGGAAATTACATCTAAACCCGTTAAATAATGTATGTAATAGATTGTTAGGAATATACCCTTTTGACTTAACGATTGACTCATAAATATATACAAATATTTTTGGGCCATTATAGATTTATGTACAAATATATTTAAATCTATAATAGTCATGTCAAAAATACGAGTTAAAAGTATATTTTACCAAAATATTTAAATATGGAGCGAGAAAAAATTGAATTGTTATCTAGGTGGATATTTTTTAGAGCATAAAGAGCACAATAGTCCTGAATAGTTTTGTTCAGTAATTACCATCTGAATAAAAATTCATTTTTTTTTGTTTATTTTAGAAAGTTATATACTATCACATTTAGGATTTGTGGTTTATATCTCGATGGGAACCTTTAGCATATTTAGAGATGTCATTTAGGATGATCAGAAGAACATATTTCGAATATAGGTTTTACAAGGCATTGAATCAGCGATTTGAGAAAACAGTTTTACGTCATTTTCTGCCTGGCTCTCGCACGATAACCTACGCTGCTACAGGTGACAACTAAACGAATTATTAAACACTTTTGAGTTTTGGATATCTACAACATTGTAAAAAATGTGATCATAAGCTGATAACGAATCTGCAAAATTGATATAGCTTGAAAAAAAAATCGGGAACTGGAAATCAGCCTAACTGCTGAAACCGTTAACAAGTTAATAATGGACCCCACATACTTTGATTTTCTTTTACTATACGGAGAATGGTCGCACTGCGCAGCTTTCTGAGTGCCTTTTAAAAGGAGATAGAAAACTCCGCCATTTTGATCCCTTATTACGTGTTGCCTACATCTTGGCGCAATATTTTTAATAGGTGCGTTTTAATCATCCGCTTCTGCTTCGGAATTGTCGGTTTTCTTGTTTTAATCTAACAGGTTAAAATGACTAAACCGACAATTCCGGAAGCAGAAGCGGATGATTAAAACGCACCTGATATTTTGCTTGCTGCTGTCAGTGAATATTATTTTTGGAGTCACATTTTATTGCTAAAGAATCAGTTAGCTCACTTGGACCAGTTGAAAGTTCCAAAATAACATCCACTCCAGGGATACAAATTCAGGATACGCAGAAGATTGCTGTTTTATTATAGGCGGTTGTCATATATTGTATTATCCGAGTTGCGCAGTGTATAAACTGGAACATTGAGATTAAAAGTGCCGACGCAGTGAGCGATCTGATTCTTTAGCTATAAACTGTGGCATAGGAATCAAAATGGCCGCGCCCTATGTTGGGCGTGTCGGACCTCTCTCTTGCACCGTATAGTAATCAAAGTATGTGAATGGACCCACATATGGGTACAATTGCTTTTAAGTCCAGCAAACCCAAGAAAACTATCCCGATGACAATTTCAGATGGATGGAAGTGTGCGAACTTATGACGAATCGGCAGAATCAAAATGAAAACTTTTAAACAGTTTATTTACCGAAGAGTCAACTTTTTCATTGTAAAACATTTTACTTTTGTTTTTAGCATTTTGTATGAATACTTACTTTTATATTCAAAGCCATAATGGCGAATAAATTATATACACATCACTTATTTGAAGAATTGAGCTAAGGAGCCATTTTTGATCCAAGGCAAATTTAGGGTGGGGGCATTGAGAAAAAACTGTCGTCTCCTAGAAAATACTCAAAAGTACTTGATTGAAAGTTTTTTTTTGTAAAAAAAAGGTTGGGAACCTATGCTTTAGTTTGAAGTTTGCCATGTTCTTGCAGTGTATATACCCTTGCTCGTATATTTTTTTCCCAACTTTTATGTACATAGCATGAAATATTAACGAGAAGGTGTACTTCTCGCTAGTCAGAAAAGACGTTATTTATACAAAGTTCCGTTGCACCTATATATCATTTGCTATAATGGTGGTTAATTTCTTGCAATAATGGCAAAAAATAAAAATAACAAGAGAAGTCAGCCAAAGTGTGCAAATAAATCTAAGAGAGATAACTTATGCTTTATTTGTGAACTAATATTAATGATTGACAGCCAGTTACATGAACGTATGTTAAAATTTACGCGCTTGATAAACATTGACAGTTTGAGATATTTATGACATGAATTATTCAGTCTAAACATCTGTTAAAGTTTATCAAGCTTTATAATAATCATATTTGTAAACTTCCAAAAATTTGATTTAATTAAATTTCACATACTTATGACCAATAAAAATTCCGATATTTTCCAAAACGCGATCAACATGGACATTGTAAAACCTATATCTTAAAATATTTCTTCCAAATGCAAAATGCAATATTCATTGGAAGTGAAAAGCACAATAGTAAATTATCCCTGTCGTATTTATTATACAAATAAATTTCACTCAATGTGCAAAATTTCTGCATTTTATCAAGATTAAATTTTAAAAAATCACGTCATGTTGGTAAATCCTTCTAATATAGTAGATCAATTACAACAACAATATATTGATGCCGATATTTAAAAATATTTTACATTTACAAAATAAAAAAAGCACGGTATTAATCACTAAATGATTAAAATAAAACGTTTTGAAATGGGTATAATTATTCTACTTTTTTAATATAAAAATCACCAGTCAGTCTTTTATTGACAACCCTTTATATCACAGTCAAATTCTCTTTAGTTCTAATCAAAATTGCACTTATCAAATTACAATAATAAAATTGAATACAACTTTTAATGAATAAAGTTTAATTTTTTGTCTATAAATTACATCTTTTTGTTGTCAACAGATCATTAGTATTTTGTTTTACATTTATTTACACATATTCTCGAGTTTCATGGGAACATTTTAAATTTATTTTAAAAATAGTAGGTAACTTATATCTTATATCATCACTGCAAATGTTCGGTAATAATATTTATGTGTTATCAATAGTTTCAAAAAATAATTTTTAATTTAACCAAAAATATTCTTTTAGCTATTAAAATTACAAAAAAAAAAATGAAGGAATTGAATTTCAAGTGCAAGTACTTATGTATTATTCATTCTTGTTATAAATGATAATTGCACGCCTTAAATTTTGCTTGGAAATGTTAATACTTTTTGTTTGTCTGTTTTTTGAAAATCGCTTGTATTGGTCAGTAAATTAAAAACAGGATTTCTTTAAATTTTAAAATAAGTCCAAAACTCGAGAATACAGATATTATGTTAAATGTTGCTAATTTAATTACAACATAATTCCTAATAAAATTATCACAAATTTTTTATCAGTCTTTACAATAAAAAACTGGGGTTGGTTAATATTTTCTGGAATTTAAAATATATATTAAAAATGCAATGCTTAAAAGCCCTCATTATTTAAATCCGTTTTCCTTGTTAAGTAGCGGCCGCGTTTATATCAAAAAGTTTTTCGTTTGATGCAATTTACCAACCCCGATACAATAAAAATAAATGCCTATTAACACTATATTTTTGAAATAGATGACATAAACTTTACAGGGAATAAAGAAACTCGATAAATGACTAGTAATAATGAATGTTAACAGGAAGAGGTCATATTTGAGATAAATATCACAAAATATATTCGTTTCTAATAATTTTTGCTACAATGTAAATGAATAACAGTACCAATTTACTAATTTTATATAATTTCAAAAATAAATTAACTGTTTAAAATGTGTATAATTTACTACTCAAGTTATTGACATACCAATTAGTTTTTTAAATGCCAAATTTATCAAAGAAATGTAAATAAAAGATTTCTCATTATCTTTATTAAATAAGTAACAAAGAACTAATTGAATAAATATATAGGCTGCAAGTGAAAACTCTCATATCGTTAATAATTAATAATCAGTCACTTGCCAAGCAAAAAAAATCATAAAACGAATGCAAAAAAATCAACTATTCTGAAAAAAATGTATTAATATCTAGTTATCAAGACGTTATTAAGTTTTTTTTTTTGTATGCTTGGCAATTGACCGGCCATCAAGAAGTTTTACAGTTAAAGAGTTATTTCTATTGCAACCTGTATATTTATAAAAAAAAAAAAACCATTCCAGCTAATCTTTCAATGTTACATTATTTAGAAAATGAGTATAGGTACTCAGTGGTGGGAATTCTAAATGAATTAGTTAAGAATTAAGAAATTTTCCATTGACATTATCTGTGAAGAATTGGGGATGAATGATTTAACACGTTAAGTGCCACGCAGTTCAACCCTTTGGACCTAACTTTTATTTTCGCTTTTTTAATTTAAACTGCTTTTTTACCTACTTCAGTTTACTTTCTAGTATTCGATCATTTTTTTTTGTTTATTTCAGTTTGTTTCGTGTCCACCGGTGGGTACGTGGTCCCACGACTTCCTATTTTGTTGTGTTTATTTTTTGTAACATGAATAGGCGTCGGAGTATTTTAGTTGTAAGAGTGACATTAATTTTAGAATTTCAATGATGTTTTTACTAAACTTTAATTTTTTTGTTACTAATTGAATAAATACATGTAGAACTGTTCAATTTTTGATTTTAAACGAATTTTCCTTATACAGTCTGATACATCTTCGTAACTAATAAAAAAAAATTTTTTCCACAACTCAAAAAAGATGAATTTATGGATTCTGCTCGGTTCACGTTCGGTTCTGTTGTCCCCTGGGTCCACAGAATTCACTAACATACAAAAATACCTTATAAAAAGTGACCACAAGTACTTGAAAACTTGCAGAGTGCCCACGTAAATAGGAAAATGTCCACCGGTGGGGCTCAACGTGTTAAATAAAAAAAACAGGTATGGTCAAAATAACATGAAGTTTAAACTATAATCATACTTGGTTTATTAAATAAAATTATTTAATATAGGCAAATAGACAAAAGTCCAAAATGTTGTGGTTTTGTATTATATGAAAGTATGGTTTACTTTACAATAATCATATAGGCGACACGTTTTAATTAAATAATTTGAACATGAAAAATAGACTGCAGGGCGGCTATTTCTCTACATTCTCAAAAACAACTCCAAATGTTCTATGAAATGTCCCATTTTGCTGATATAACTAATTAATTCTAGCCTTATCTATCTATTATCACAAACATGACAATGACAAGTTTTAATATATATTTTGAAAAACATACCTAATTAAAGTAACCAAAATGGGATGAAACTAAAAGTGTTCATAACAAATGAAATTTGGGTAATAGCCGTCCTGCAGCACACATGTACCGCAACAAATTTTCTATGTCACTCTTAATAAAAAATCTCGCTCCTACACATCTAAGAAAAAATGAAAAGTCTACAATACCGGGCCCTGGTCCAGGCATGTGTTGAATTGGTGGCGGCGGTCCTCCTCCTTGCTGGAAGAAAGCAGGATTAACATGAGGCGCCGGTCCTTGTGGAGGTCCTTGCGGTGGAGCACCTGGGGGTCCCATCGGAGGCGGACCCCTAGGACCCATGTTCGGACCTTGCATATGCGGCGGACCTTGAGGATACCCTTGCTGCATTGGTGGTCTGTTCCATTCTGGACGCATTGGTGGCGGCCCCTGCGGTTGCATACCCCTAGGGGGATGTTGTTGAGGCGGACCCTGCTTTTAATAGGTTACAAGTGAAAGCACAAGAACAAAAAATAACGTTTATTTAATTTATGCTTCACAATGAAAACAAGATACAATAAACAAAAATATTCGGAATGGCGATAAAATTGATTTCAAATACATTGTGGAAACTAATTATGAAAGAATTATGTTTGACAGTATTTGTAAACAAGTTGCATTTTAACAGGTACACATTTTTATATAATACAATTTTCGCCATAAATTATAAAAATTCATTGCCCAGTTTTCAGGTTTTTTTTTTGGACCTTTTTAATACAATTAACATCATTATAGAGCATTACGAATGTCATTTTAAATTAAAAAATACGGGATATAAATATATTGGAGGGGTAAACCGCTGCTGTACTATGGTGTACAAGCAATCTGTACAATTTGTATATTTTGTGTACTATTTCTGGACTATTTTGTACTATCTGGTACTAAGTGAATACAGGTTAAGTAGTACTCCCACTTGGCAGGCATTCTAGCGACCTTTTTTACAACATCAACTAAATTTTAATAGCTGCGACCTTTTTTTAACTCGTCAACCTAACTGTCATCTATTTATGTACTATTTGCCTACTATTCCGGGCACAATGTGTACTAGTGTACAACATTTTTCCAGTAGTTTATCCCTCGAATATATTTTACCCTTTGACCAGTCTGTATTCGTTTACTTTGTAAATAGTATGAGTGCAAACTAAGTTTCCATTTCAAGATAAAAGATAAAATCATCTAATTATAATAAATAATTCGTTAATAAAATAACTCTGTTGCTCTGGTTTTTAGTGTATGACTAACAATGTTCATGATGTTTGAGGTATAGAGAAGAGAACTCATTTTGGAATTTTATTTTTTAATAAATATGAAAGAGTAATGTAATATTTACTAAATAGGATATAGGCTATATTTGAGATTATGAAAATTTGTGCCAGCAAGGGAACCGGATGTGCTATAAATTGAACTATTTGGGCAAATTATGACTGAAAAATTAGAAATTCAATAAAAAAACTAAAATATATTTTGGTCAAAAATTTTTAATTTGTAAGTTATACAAATTACCAACTTTTAACATTTAGAATATGCGCTACAATGATACCTATAGTAGATCTGCAAGTTTTTCTTGAACATCTAAACCTTTAATGAAGAATCCTTATACAGAGTGTTCAAATTAAAGTGTTACAGCTAAATACCGCCTTTTATAAAACAACCGTTTCAGACGAAAGTTTTATAGTTTGGGAAAAATTTTTGGCTAAAATCGTTTTTTATAGCTAACCATAATATGGCCAACTTTTTTTTCGCTATTTCAAGTAGCTGTTACTCAAAAAGTAAAAGTCCAATAAAAAAAATATTTCCATCAAAAGCGTCTTATTTTTTTTATGTACTTTATGTAAATATGTAAAAAAAAATGGGATTCTCATTTAAAAAAACAAAGTCCACCTCGATATGGTCAGCTATAAAAAAATGAATTTAGCCAAAATGTTTCCCACAAAAAAACTGTAAAACTTTTGTCTGAAACTTTTTTTTCGAAATTGCATATTTTCGGCGGTATTTAACTGTAACACTTTAATTTGAACACCCGGTATATATATTTTTTTTGGTTTTTCACAAAAGATCTCTTCATATATTTTACATAAATTTAAATGACAAATGGAGGTTATGTTCGGTCCGCCATATATTGTTTGCTCAAAAAGATCAATTTGTTGGAAAGCTTTTTAGTCGGCTATATCCTATTCAGTAAATATTACAGATCAGTGAGGTTTATAATAATGTACTGCTTTCTAACGATTATACAGTAATATAAATATAAGAAAAATTTTAATAATGTAAAACTGGAGTAACTTTACTTGAAAGGGAGATTCTCGTGATCTAAGGTTGTCATCTACAGAGCCACTAGCGGAAACAATTAGAACTAGCTAAAAAAGGGCTGTTACTTTAACGATTGTGATAAAGTTGTAAGCTATGGAAATGGGCTACTTTTCATTGGGACACCATGTATTTTAAATTTAAATATAATCGATTGTTGAAATTAGTTCATCTAAAATTTGAAAACATAATACACCTATTTAAATGTGACATGTACTGTATTGTATTTATTAATTTATACATTTTACAAAATACAAAATTACGCCAAATATAATTGAATTTCATAAGGAGTTACCACATACATATTATACAGGGTTGTGCAAAATGGGCGGAACACCAGATTTCTGGTTTTATTGAGCAAATAAATAAATGTTCCAATTTTGTTTTTCAATGCGCATTTTTTGATATATGTATATTTTTTATGAGGCCATCACTATTTTTAGTTGTCAACGCGCTTTTTGATAGCACCAATTAAAAGAGCAAATTTTTGCGTAGACACGACCAATTTCTTGACATGTTACACAATCTGATGAAAAAAGAAAAGTAGGAAACAGTACTCATAACAAAATGTATTGACTAAAAAATCTTTGTTTTGAAAATATTTGAATGAAACAGAAAATTTAGTGTCTAAGCTAAAGATGTGCTCTTTATTCGCCAAATTATGTTGTAAAGGATTTTTGTATTTATTTAAAAAACTCCTGATTACCTTACATCGCGAATATTGATATCATAATAGTTATTTACGATGTAAGTGGAATAAGAGCTTTATTTACGTACGCATGCGAAATTTGCACAACGAGTGCGTAGCGCGAGTTGGGCAATCGCAGAAGTGCGTTAATAAAGCGTTATCACACGTATATTGTAAATTTTTTTACCTACGCCTCTAAATGTAAAAAATAAACGGTAATTATAATTTTTGTCTAAGACTTAATTTAGGGTTGTCAGAGATAACAGAGATATAACCATTCATTGATAAAATATAATATTCAGGATGCCAAGATTAAATCGACAATCAATAACATTATTTGTAGGTCCGCGGCGAGAAGACGAAAGGTGAGAAGAGAGGGGATAAAGAGAAGGATTTTACGCAGATACAACTTTATTTTATCAATGAATAAATGTAAGCGATGTGCGCTTATAATAAACAACGTAACGGTGCAAGCCCTGTTGCCACTTCCAACTTACCATTACTAGGTTTTGGAATTTATTAAAAATTATTGCATTTATTTAGTGAAATTACATCTAATTTAGTGAAATTTGATGTAACTAATGATAAATGTTTTTGGGTTCACTTGCAATAAAATAAGTTGAATTATTTTAGCTTTTTTTTATATTAAAATAATTTTGTAAACAAAACGAGAATAATGAAATAGACATATGACAACAGCGGATATTATACCCTCCTGTGTCCCTTAGAATGTCTTATTCAGGACCGCACGATATTTGTTAGTAGTTAAATCTCCTGTTATCTCTGGTTATTGTTCTCCACCACTGCCTACATGTTGATTGGCGACACATCGAAATGTTGGGTGGCGATTCTAACAATTTAATAAAAACGTTTTGTTTTCTTAGCAACGATATAGCCCAATAGCCCACTGCAAATTTTTACTGTCATCTGATAACAAAAATAAATATACCCCAAAAGTATATAAAAACATTGTACTTTACCAAATGGCACCTGGTGCCAATCACAATCCTCAGCTAAGTGGTTAAAAAAATTATATTAAAAAAATCACATAAAGCATGTCGGCGCTATTTTTGTTTGCCCTTAAATTTTTCCAGAAAATAACATATTCAAATATATCTTGATCTACATCGTTAAAGGGAAACATTTTCTTCCTCTTAACATCGCACAAAAACATCTATCCACGATTAGTAGGTAAAAATCATTAAAAATATAAATCAATTAATGCTGAATTAAAAATTTATTTGTATGCCTATTGTGATTCATTTTTACAGGTTGCTATAGAAACGACAAAAAACACTACTATGATTATGGTTAAAAAGAATTGTCTAACAGGACTTTATAATTATTATTGACTATCTCTGAAAATAGTTTATACAATGTCATCCTTCTTCCTTTCAAACATACACATGGTTTAAGAGAGAAAGCCCACTCACGCGACACGTCGCGCGCGACCTGCCGCAAGCTATTTTTAAGGTGCGATTTTTAACAGACGACAAGCAGCGACACAGACGTTAAATATCAAAATAGAGGTGGAAGAAGTAGCAACGGTGTTGTTTTATTCTGTTGGTCGGCGGAAAAAATTAAATCGACGTAGGTACTGGGTTCATCCATTATTTATAGACCCTTATGTAAAAGGCGCATTTAATTTATTATATAAGGATTTACGTCAACACGAAGATAAGTTCTTCAAATATTGCAGAATGCTAGCGCGGATTCCCGAACAAATATTTTTGTCGCTATTTTATTTCAATTAACTGTTCAATATTTGAGGTCGGTCTTGAATATCGGATATAAATTCATCCATATCAATACAACTGTCGGACATTTTTTCACTGGAACTGTCAAAAAGTTAACAGGAAACTCCAACTCTCAAGTGGCGTTTCGCACGCGACTTGACGTTTGTAGAGTGATGCTCCATATGTATCCATGATAACGCGAAAATCGTGGGTTTGTCATTTCTAATTTTCAGCCACGTGCGACCACGCGACAGATCCGCGTTAATGGGCTTTGAGTCATTTAAAAACATATAAAGTATTGCCGCGCGCGATGCCTCGCGATCAGTCGCGCGCGACGTGTCGCATGAGTGGGTTTTCACTTTAAAGGTAGATAAAAATATTAAAAATTTAGGTTTAAAATGAATTAGGATTGTAGTTTTCGGGGAAAACACAATTGTCGCTGTCATGTCTTATGTGATTTTTTTAATATAACTTTTTTTAACCACTTTGCTCAGGATATGGATTGGCACAAGTGCAATTTGGTAAAGTACTATGTTGTTACATGCCTTTGGAGCTTATTTCATTTCGTGCAGTGGGCTCTCTTTCTAATAATATTGTAATAAACAATAAGTCAAAAATAATTAATTTTTAACGTATTTTTGCATTTTATAGTAATAAAATGAGTGATTCAGAAAGTGTGATATCTGATATTGAAGAACAAG